GATGCGAGGTCGAAACTACAGTCCACTTTGGATGAGAACAACTTTTGGGAAAGCAAGGCTATGTGAAATTGAATAGAAACGTCAGCTCAAATCGTATCATTGTGGGAAAATTCTTCTACTACCTTTCCTTCACCACCTTAGACGAAATAGGGTGAATACATTTCATTTGTAAATTAATATTCATACAATGGACTCCGGACGAGGTGCGTTCCTCCAAGTCTTCCTACCAACATGACCAAGTTGCGCAAAAAAGGTCAAACAACTTTTGTACAACGAAAGGAGACTTCGACCACACAAAAGGCCACACCATCTCAGTTTTCATACCTTCCGGAGGCAGGCACATTTGAACTTCAACGGCGAATTGAGGACCATTCATTTGATTGTTTGTGAAAACTCAATTGTCAGTGCTTAAATCGTCTTGGATGTGGTGTAGTCACGGTGAGAAAGGACTGGTATGGGCAGACCCGAACAGTCTTCTTCACCTACTTTCTCATTTCCACGTGGGCTTTCGAAAATGCGAGTAGATCAAAATTATGAAAACTATTCATCATATTTCGCTTAGGCTGGTAATGAAAGTAATAATTGCATTTTTCCAAAATCACATTCTTTTTTTCTAATTTCGCACAGTCTTGTTTCCCAAAAAGTGTTCGCATTCAGACAAGAGTGGAGGCCAGTTTTGACCTTGCAAGTTTATGTGAATTTTAATGGAAACGTAAGGTTTATTCATATGATTGTGGAAAAATGTGGAATAGATGCATTTCATATTTGTGAACTGTTGGTAGGCTCGAAATCTAATTGTAAACGAACAAGTTAACTCATCTCGTTCGAGCTGGGCTGACTACGTTCTTATTCAACACTTGTTCATAGTACCGAAAGCTACTTATATGGAAATCAAGTAGTGTTGGGCGGGTTGCCAATTATGGACACCAAAAATATGTGCATTTTCCCAAATTCAAGTGACTATAGTGTCTTCACCCTATTTCGTTTAAAAACATAAAGGACTGCTAGTTCAATTTTCCCACAATCATATGAGTAGACCTTACGTTTCCATGCAATTTCACATAGCCCTGCTTGCCTAAAGGTCGACTGCAATTTCGACCTCGCCTGAGCTGGTCTCATCAGTGCCCCTGACGGGACTCGAACCATGACAGGGCGGTGTATAATCACGACGATTTAACCACAACGACATCGCCACCAGTGCCCTCGGATGGCAGGACAGATGTGAATTTCAAGATGAGCCAGGCATTTTCTCATATCCAATTCTGTGGAGGGGTTGTCGATGAAGCAAAGTAATATTTGCTAAAGCAATCGATGACACTACTTATTTTTCGCTTTTATAAGTAGGTCTGGCCTGGCCTGGCACTCGAGATTATGGACTGCACTAGCGCAATCCGGGTTTCAGTTCCGTCGCGGGTGCAGATGAAACTATTTCTGGGCAGGTCGAAACTAAAGATCACTTCAGCCGGGATAAAGATATCTTTTGAGAAAGCAAAGCTTTGTGAAATTCATAGGATTGTGGGAAATTTCAACTACCAGTCTTCTATCCTCAAATGCATGTTCTGCTAGTAGTTTCGAAAGA